TCGATTTTATGCACCTGTCAGCAACGGGTGTGGCTGAAATAGCCGAATCCACTCATTTGAAGGGGGGAGTCCACATACTTTTGGCCATGTAGTGTACTTGACAGTGTTGTATGTGATAGACTGTCAAAGGTACTATATACTGTAATACTTGACAGTGTTGTATGTGTCAAACAGAGGTACATGACTTTACTCGGTTGGTGAACTTGGTTTCAGTGAACCTGTAGGCGTAGAAGGAAGATTTATGTCTGGTCTGAGTCACTTTATTTCCTGGAGGTGGAGTTCATTATTGTTACTTTGTGCTGTTTTTTAAACTATTCAATTCAGTGTTGTGTGTCGATTACTAAGTCATTCTAGGGAAAAGTTGATCATTTATTTAACTATTCAATTCAGTGTTGTGTGTTTATTACTTGGGAAAAGTTGACTTAATTTAAAGAAAAATCCGTAATGGAAAAACTATGTTTGTAGTTTACAAAATTAAAATCCAAGCTGGCTCACCTGTTCTTCCTCTTCGCTAATGATGGGAGTTCAGTCAGTGTTCAGTCTTCGGTCTGTCACCCGTAGGATATCCTAGCTCATTTATAGATGATAGGTTCCCGAGTGGCGCAGTGGTCAAAGGCACTGCATCTCAGTGCTTGAGGCGTCACTACAGACTTCCTGGTTCGATTCCAGGCTGTATCACAACCGGCCGTGATTGGGAGTCCCATGGGGCGGCGCGCAATTGGCCCAGCGTCGTCCGGGTTTGGCCGGTGTAGGCCGTCATTGTAAACAATAATTTGTTCTTAACTGACTTGCCTGTTTAAATAAAAATAGGGCCTGCTTTACTGAAGTTGCGTGACATTGCAAGGAAAGAAATGGCAAAATAGAGCATTCCATTGCGAGATCCAGCTTTTGATTGCCGACCTGCCTATTCTGTACCCCTCCCCTCTCTCTATTTACGGCAACTAATGCGGAAGATCTGTTTCCTTTCTACTAAATGTCTTGGTATGTCACGGTATTTAAACGTTAAAGTACTTTTTTTTGGAGAGAGTGGTCTGAGCGCAGGCAGCAGGCATGCTGCGCACAGGCAGCTCGAGATTATTTGACTGACAGTTCTGGTCGCCTAGTGATGGACGTTAGTCCGGCTTCAGAAGTGGCATTCCTTTACAGACGAGCCCGTTCAGTGGAGCTTCCTGAACCATCTCCAGAGAAGGTTTTGTGTCAACATTTAAAAGCCGTAGTGTTCCCTTTCAGACAAACAATAACTGCTGTAGATATAACTTCATTGCCCAGCCCAAGCGGTCAATATGTTGCCTTCAGAAAGTATTCACTTGACTTATTCCACATTTTGTAGAGTTACAGCCTGAATTCAAAATGGTGTAAAAAATAAATAAAAAATCTCACCCCATCGACACACAATAATACCCCATAATGACAAAGTGAAAACATGTTTTTAGACATTTTTGCAAATGTATTGAAAATGAAATACAGTCATCTCATTTACATAAGTATTCACACACCTACATCAATACTTTGCAGAAGCACCTTTGGTGGCGATTACAGCTGTGAGTATTTGGGGTAAGTCTATAAGAGCTTTGCACACCTGGTTTGTACAATATTTGTGCATTATTGTCGTTTTTTTTTTTTTTCAAGCTCTGTCAAGTTGATTGTTGATCATTGTGAGACAGCAAAATCCAATTCTTGCCATAGATTTTCCAGCCAATTTAAGTCAAAACTGTAACTTGGCCACTCAGGAACATTCAACGTTGTCTTGGTAAGCAACTCCAGTGAATATTTGGCCTTGTGTTTTAGGTTATTGTCCTGCTGAAAGGTGAATTCGTCTCCCAGTGTCTGTTGGAAAGCAGACTGAACCAGGTTCTCCTCTAGGATTTTGCCTGTGCTTAGCTGTATTCTATTTCTGTTTATCCTAAAAAACTCCCTAGTCCTTGCAGATGACAAGCATACCCATAACATGATGCAGCCACCACCATGCTTGAAAAAATGAATAGTGGTCCTCAGTAATGTGTTGTATTGGATTTTCCGAAACATAACGCTTTGTATTCAGGACAAAAAGTTAATTTATTTGCCACATTTTTTGCAGTATTACTTAAGTGCCATTACTTAAGTGCCTTACTTAAGTGCCTTAAGTGTATTACTTAAGGATGCATGTTTTGGACCATATTTAGTCTGTACAGGCTTCCTCCTTTTCACGCTATCATTTAGGTAAGTATTGTAGAGTAACTACAATGTTGTTGATCCATCCTCAGTTCTCATATCACAACCATTAAACTCTGTAACTGTTTTAAAATCACCATTGGCCTCATGGCGAAATCCCTGAGCAGTTTTCTTCCTCTTCGGCAACTGAGTGGAGGGGGGAATGAGCCAATTGGAAGCTGGGGATGATTAGCTGGCCATGATGGTATGAGGGCCAGATTGGGAATTTAGCCAGGACACCGGGGTTAACACCCCTACTCTTACGATAAGTTCCATGGGATCTTTAGTGACCACAGAGAGTCGGGACACCCGTTTAACGTCCCATCCGAAAGACAGCACCCTACACAGGGCAATGTCCCCCTCACTGCCCTGGGGCATTGGGATCTCCTTAGACCAGAGGAAAGAGTGCCTCCTACTGTTCCTCCAACTCCACTTCCAGCAGCATCTGGTCTCCCATCCAGGGACCGACCAGGACCAACCCTGTTTAGCCGTAGAAGCAAGCCATCAGTGGGATACAGGGTGGTAATTAATAACTTCACCATGCTCAAAGGGATATTCAGTGTCGACTTTTATTTAATAATTTTTTTTTACACATCTACCAATCGGCGCCCTTCTTTGCGAGGCATTGAAAAATTTCCCTGATCTTTGTGGTTGAATTCACTACTTGATTGAGGGACCTTACAGATAATTGTTTGTGTGGGATACAGAGATGGGGTAGTCATTAAAAAAATAGTGTTACCCACTATTAGTGAACATGGAGTGAGTCCATGCAACTTATTATGTGATTTGTTAAGCACATTATATATTTTTTTCTGAACGTATTTAGGCTTGCCATAACAAAGGGTTTGAATACTTATTGACTCGAAACATTCCAGCTTTTCATTTTTGATACATTTAAAGAATGTTCTACAAACAAAATCTCAATTTAATGCATTTTTTATTCAGGCTGTAACACAACAAAATGTGGGGAAAGTAAAGCACTGTACATACGTAATAGGACCATTATTCTGTGAATTGACCAGGAATGGTATTATTTTGTTTCCAATTTTTTTTTTTTTTATGACTATTTAAACATTAAACAAAATTGTCCATTTTATCACATCCCTAACTAACATATAGTGCTGCTGTAAACAGCAAAACATGAGTCACAGAAAGCAGCGCTACAACTCAGCAAAACAACCCAACATGGAACTGTTAAGATGGTTTCTAGAACTGTTAAGATGGTTTCTAGAACTGTTAAGATGGTTTCTAGAACTGTTAAGATGGTTTCTAGAACTGTTAAGATGGTTTCTAGAACTGTTAAGATGGTTTCTAGAACTGTTAAGATGGTTTCTAGAACTGTTAAGATGGTTTCTAGAACTGTTAAGATGGTTTCTAGAACTGTTAAAGATGGAGTTTCTAGAACTGTTTCATAGATGGTTTGTTCTAAGTTTTGTCTAGAACTGTTAATGGTTCTAGAAGCGGTTAAGAAAGTTCTAGAACTGTCAAGAGGTGCTAGAACTGTGACCCCAGGAGGGGTTTAGAGACGTAGAAGAGGGTTGGAGAACGTGCATTTAGGAGTGGAATGGGTCGGTCTAGTCCTTTAGGGTGGAATGGGTTCTGTCTAGTCCTTTAGGGTGGAATGGGTTGTCTAGTCCTTTTAGGGTGGAATGGGTCTGTCTAGTCCTTTAGGGTGGAATGGGTCTGTCTAGTCCTTTAAGGGTGGAATGGGTCTGTCTAGTCCTTTAGGGTGGAATGGGTCTGTCTAGTCCTTTAGGGTGGAATGGGTCTGTCTAGTCCTTTAGGGTGGAATGGGTCTGTCTAGTCCTTTAGGGTGGAATGGGTCTGTCTAGTCCTTTAGGGTGGAATGGGTCTGTCTAGTCCTTTAGGGTGGAATGGGTCTGTCTAGTCCTTTAGGGTGGAATGGGTCTGTCTAGTCCTTTAGGGGTGGAATGGGTCTGTCTAGTCCTTTAGGGTGGAATGGGTCTGTCTAGTCCTTTAGGGTGGAATGGGTCTGTCTAGTCCTTTAGGGTGGAATGGGTCTGTCTAGTCCTTTAGGGTGGAATGGGTCTGTCTAGTCCTTTAGGGTGGAATGGGTCTGTCTAGTCCTTTAGGGTGGAATGGGATCTGTCTAGTCCTTTAGGGTGGAATGGGTCTGTCTAGTCCTTTCGGGTGGAATGGGTCTGTCTAGTCCTTTAGGGTGGAATGGGTCTGTCTAGTCCTTTAGGGTGGAATGGGTCTGTCTTTTAGGGTGGAATGGGTCTGTCTAGTCCTTTAGGGTGGAATGGGTCTGTCTTTTAGGGTGGAATGGGTCTGTCTAGTCCTTTAGGGTGGAATGGGTCTGTCTAGTCCTTTAGGGTGGAATGGGTCTGTCTAGTCCTTTAGGGTGGAATGGGACCTGTCTAGTCCTCTCCACTAGTTCAAGGGCAGGACTTTATAGAGAACACACATCCTAGTCCACCAGGTAACAACATCAACATTCTCTTCTCTGGCTGTGTTTTATATTTATCTTTCATCTTCAGGATAACAGCTTCTGAATCATTTCCTTGTTGTATATGTCTTGTGCTCATTGCTCTATGAAGGTTGTGGGAATGTTGGGGCTACTTCAGTTCCGTGTAGCTCAGTTTGGTAGAGCATGGCGTTTGCAACGCCAGGGTCGTGGGTTCGTTTCCCACTGGTGACCGGTATTTTAAAAAAAATTATGCACTCACTAACTGTAAGTCGCTCTGGAGAAGCGCGTCTGGTAAATGTATTGTGGTTCCATTTTACAATCCACCACAATGTAATTGAAAAGGTTTGGAGGAGAGCGACTGACATCTACAGCACTTACGTTTTATGGTCAGTTCTCCATAGTTGGACACCCCGACTCCTTTGTCAGAGTGGACAATGCACCGGTAGCGTCCAGAGTCTCCCTTAGTGGTGTTCTCCACGTCGAAGGTGCCAATGAAGCGTCGGTTGTTCCACGGCTTAGTGGACTTCATAGGGGCCTTGAGTCCACCAATACCCTGTTAGAACACACAGCAGGGGTTAGAGGTCGTTTAGTGGCCTTCATAGGGGCCTTGAGTCCACCAATACCCTGTTAGAACACACAGCAGGGGTTAGAGGTCGTTTAGTGGCCTTCATAGGGGCCTTGAGTCCACCAATACCCTGTTAGAACACAGTCAGGGGTCAGAGGTCGTTTAGTGGCCTTCATAGGGGCCTTGAGTCCACCAATACCCTGTTAGAACACACAGCAGGGGTTAGAGGTCGTTTAGTGGCCTTCATAGGGGCCTTGAGTCCACCAATACCCTGTTAGAACACAGTCAGGGGTTAGAGGTCGTTTAGTAGACTTCATAGGGGCCTTGAGTCCACCAATACCCTGTTAGAACACACAGCAGGGGTTAGAGGTCGTTTAGTGGCCTTCATAGGGGCCTTGAGTCCACCAATACCCTGTTAGAACACAGTCAGGGGTTAGAGGTCGTTTAGTGGCCTTCATAGGGGCCTTGAGTCCACCAATACCCTGTTAGAACACAGTCAGGGGTTAGAGGTCGTTTAGTAGACTTCATAGGGGCCTTGAGTCCACCAATACCCTGTTTGAACACACAGCAGGGGTTAGAGGTCGTTTAGTAGACTTCATAGGGGCCTTGAGTCCACCAATACCCTGTTAGAACACACAGCAGGGGTTAGAGGTCGTTTAGTGGCCTTCATAGGGGCCTTGAGTCCACCAAGACCCTGTTAGAACACAGTCAGGGGTTAGAGGTCGTTTAGTAGACTTCATAGGGGCCTTGAGTCCACCAATACCCTGTTAGAACACAGTCAGGGGTTAGAGGTCGTTTAGTGGCCTTCATAGGGGCCTTGAGTCCACCAATACCCATGTTAGAAACACAGTCAGGGGTTAGAGTCGTTTAGTGGCCTTCATAGGGGCCTTGAGTCCACCAATACCCTGTTAGAACACAGTCAGGGGTTAGAGGTCGTTTAGTAGACTTCATAGGGGCCTTGAGTCCACCAAGACCCTGTTTGAACACACCAGCAGGGGTTAGAGGTCGTTAGTGGCCTTCATAGGGGCCTTGCGTCCACCAATACCTGTTTGAACACACAGCAGGGGTTAGAGGTCGTTTAGTGGCCTTCATAGGGGCCTTGAGTCCACCAATACCCTGTTAGAACACACAGCAGGGGTTAGAGGTCGTTTAGTGGCCTTCATAGGGGCCTTGAGTCCACCAATACCCTGTTAGAACACAGTCAGGGGTTAGAGGTCGTTTAGTAGACTTCATAGGGGCCTTGAGTCCACCAATACCCTGTTAGAACACACAGCAGGGGTTAGAGGTCGTTTAGTGGCCTTCATAGGGGCCTTGAGTCCACCAATACCCTGTTAGAACACAGTCAGGGGTTAGAGGTCGTTTAGTAGACTTCATAGGGGCCTTGAGTCCACCAAGACCCTGTTTGAACACACAGCAGGTTAGAGATAGTTTTAGTGGTAGATGGTCGTTTAGTAGACTTCATAGGGGCCTTGAGTCCACCAATACCTTGTCTGGAACACAGTCAGGGGTTAGCTGTGAAAAACAGATGGTTAGGCAAAAAAAAATATAGACAGGTTTAATTATTGAAGTGGCTTCACCTTGATTGTGTCAAGTGTGTGTGTGGGGACAACGGTGTGTATGTGTGTGTGTGTGTGTGTGTGTGTGTGTGTGTGTGTGTGTGTGTGTGTGTGTGTGTGTGTGTGTGTGTGTGTGTGTATGTGTGTGTATGTGTATGTGTGTGTGTGTGTGTGTGTGTGTGTGTGTGTGTGTGTGTGTGTGTGTGTGTGTGTGTGTGTGTCGCAGTAGAATATTCAAGGTCATGTCAGCAGGCTGTATGCTGATTTTTAGAACAAGGTCACATCCCTTCACTAACGTGAGACTCCAGGATGCAGCAGTATTATCTATACTGTAGTGTATAGTCTATATACCATATACAGCGCCTTCGGAAAGTACTCAGACCCCTTGACTTTTTCCACAGGTTGTTACGTTACAGCTTTATTCTAAAATGGATTAAATATTTGTTTTCCCTTATTAATCTACACACAATACCCCATATGACACATTGAAGACAGGATTTATAAATGTTATCACATTTATAATTTTTTTTAAACAGAAATACATTATTTACATAAGTATTCAGACCCTTTGCTATGAGACTCGAAATTGAGCTCAGGTGCATCCTGTTTCCATTGATCATCCTTGAGATGTTTCTACAACTTGATTGGAGTCCACCTGTGGTAAATTCAATTGATTGGACATGATTTGGAAAGGCACACACCTGTCTATATAAGGTCCCACAGTTGACAGTGCATGTCAGAGCAAAAATCAAGCCATGAGGTCGAAGGAATTGTCCGTAGAGCTCCGAGACAGGATTATGTCGAGGCACAGATCTGGGGAAGGGTACCAAAACATTTCTGCAGCACTGAAGGTCCCCAAGAACACAGTGGGCTCCATCATTCTTCAATGGAAGAAGTTTGGAACCACCAAGACTCTTCCTAGAGCTGGCCGCCCAGCCAAACTGAGCAATCGGGGGAGAAGGGCCTTGGTCAGGGAGGTGACCAACAACCCGATGGTCACTCTGACAGAGCTCCAGAGTTCCTCTGTGGAGATGGGAGAACCTTCCAGAAGGACAACCATTTCTGCAGCACTCCACCAATCAGGCCTTTATGGTAGAGTGGCCAGATGGAAGCCACTCCTCAGTAAAAGGCACATGACAGCCCTCTTGGAGTTTGCCAAAAGCACCTAAAGGACTCTCACATAATGAGAAACAAGATTCTCTGGTCTGATGAAACCAAGAAACTCTTTGGCCTGAATGCCAAGCTTCACGTCTGGAGGAAACCTGGCACCATCCCTACGGTGAAGCATGGTGGTGGCAGCATCATGCTGTGGGGATGTTTTTCAGCGACAGGGAATGGGAGCCTAGTCAGGATCGAGGGAAAGATGAACGGAGCAAAGTACAGAGAGATCCTTGATGAAAACCTGCTCCAGAGCGCTCAGGACCTCAGACTGGGGCGAAGGTTCACATTCCAACAGGATAACGACCCTAAGCACACAGCCAAGACAACGCAGGAGTGGCTTCGGGACAAGTCTCTGAATGTCCTTGAGTGGCCCAGCCAGACCCCGGACTTGAACCCGAATGAACATCTCTGGAGAGACCTGAAAATTGCTGTGCAGCGATACTCCCCATCCAACCTGATAGAGCTTGAGAGAATCTGCAGAGAAGAATGGGAGAAACTCCCCAAATTCAGGTGTGGCAATCTTGTTGTGTCATACCCAAGAAGACTCGAGGCTGTAATCGCTGCCAAAGGTAATTCAACAAAGTACTGAGTAAAGAGTCTGAATACTTATGTAAATTCATATTTCAGTTTATTCACTGTATGTACCATATATATATATAAATACTGTAGGGTATAGTTTATATACCATATATAAATACTGAAGGCTATATACACTATATATACAAAGGTATGTGGACACCCCTTCAAATTAGTGGATTTGGCTATTTCAGCCACACCCGTTGCTGACAGGTGTATAAAATCGAGCACACAGCCATGCAATCTCCATAGACAAACACTGGCAGTAGAATGGCCTTACTGAAGAGCTCAGTGACTTTCAACGTGGCACCGTCATAGGATGCCACCTTTCCAACAAGTCAGTTCATCAAATTTCTGCCCTGCTAGAGCTTGTTCGGTCAACTGTAAGTGCTGTTATTGTGAAATGGAAACGTCTAGGAGCACAAGCTCACAGAACGGGACCGCCGAGGGGTGTAGTGCGTAAAAAAAAAAATCCTCGGTTGCAACACTCAATACCTAGTTCCAAACTGCCTCTGGAAGCAACGTCAGCAAAATAACTGTTCGTCGGGAGCTTCATGAAATGTGTTTCCATGGCCGAGCAGCCGCACACAAGCCTAAGATCACCACGTGCAATGCCAAGTGTTGACTGGAGTGGTGTAAAGCTTGCCACCATTGGACTCTGGAGCAGTGGAAACGTGTTCTCTGGAGTGATGAATCACGCTTCACCATCTGGCAGTCCGACGGACTAATCTGGGTTTGGCGGATGCCAGGAAAACGCTACCTGCCCCAATGCATAGTGCCAGCTGTAAAGTTTGGTGGAGGAGGAATAATGGTCTGGGGCTGTTTTGCATGGTTCGGGCTAGGATCCTTAGTTCCAGTGAAGGGAAATCTTAACGCTACAGCATACAATGACATTCTAGACGATTCTGTGCTTCCAACTTTGTGGCAACAGTTTGGGGAAGGCCCTTTCCTGTTTCAGCATGACAATGCCCCCGTGCACAGAGCGAGGTCCATACAGAAACGGTTTGTCGAGATCGGTGTGGACAAACTTGACTGGCCTGCACAGAGCCCTGACCTCAACCCCATCGAACACCTTTGGGATGAATTGGAACGCTGACTGCGAGCCAGGCCTAATCGCCCAACATCAGTGCCCAACCTCACTAATGCTCTTGTGGCTGAATGGAAGTCCCCCGCAGCAATGTTCCAACATCTAGTGGAAAGCCTTCCCAGAAGAGTGGAGGCTGTCATAGCAGCAAAGGGGGAGACCAACTCCATATTAATGCCCATGATTTTGGAATGAGATGTTCGACGACCAGGTATCCACATAATTTTGGTCATGTAGTGTATATAAATGTACCGGGGCCTCCCACTCCTCTTTCTATTCTGGTTAGAGCCAGTTTGCGCTGTTCTGTGAAGGGAGTAGTACACAGCGTTGTACGAGATCTTCAGTTTCTTGGCAATTTCTCGCACGGAATAGCCTTCATTTCTCAGAACAAGAATAGACTGACGAGTTTCAGAAGAAAGTTATTTGTTTCTGGCCATTTTGAGCCTGTAATCGAACCCACAATTGCTGATGTATGTTACAATAGTGTTGCCAGACTCATAAGGCTTTCTTTGCACGTTGAAAGACCATATGTTATGGGACCTGAATCACCTACACGCTTAGAAAAAACTGGTTACAAAAGGGTTCTTCGGCTGTCCCCATAGGATAACCATTTTTTGGTTCCAGGTAGAACCCTTTTTAGAAACCAAAAGAGTTCTACCTGGAACAAAAAAAAAGGTTATTCAAAGGGTTCTCCTATAGCAGGGATAATCAACTACATTCAGCCTGCAGGACGATTTTTTTTCTTGAGCGAATGGTCAGGGGGCCGGAACATAATTACAAATAATTTGTAGACAGCAAATTCGGCCCGCGGGCCGCCTTTTGGGGCGCCCTGTCCTATGGGGACAGCCGAATAACCCTTTTAGGTTCCAGATAGCACCTTTTTTCTAAGAGTGTAGGCTAGGGTTTGATTTAGTGAAACCTACTACCGCTAAAATCTTGTTCCAACCCAGCAGTAATGTCTAGTTCAAATAATCAATATCAACTACTATTTTATGTGCTGGGCTAGAACAAAAGCCTGCACAACAGGAACTGAGTTGGAGATTTTGGGTAAACATTGTTACCTGTAACCAGAGGTTGAAGTTGTCTCTCTGTCGTCCGTTGACAGTACAGTGGAAGGCGGCCGTCTGTCCAGCATTGACCTCTACACCCTTTATGGTCAGGAAGTGAGGGGTGTTCACTATAAATACACAAACACACACACACACACACACACACACACACACACACACACACACACACACACACACACACACACACACACACACACACACACACACACACACACATACATACATATATATATTAATATACATAAATATATATATAAACCTAAACCTCTATGTCCTTTATTGTCAGGAAGTGAGGGGCGGCAGGTAGTTGTGGCAATAACCGTAAGGTCGTTGGTTCTAATCCCCGAGCCGACTAGGTGAAAAATCTGTCGATGTGCCCTTGAGCAAGGCACTTAACCCTAATTGCTCCTGTAAGTCGCTCTGGATAAGAGCGTCTGCTAAATGACTAAAATGTAAAAAAATGAAAGGGTGATTTAATTTGAATGAAAATGAGGGGTGTTCACTATAAATACACACACACATATATATATAAACCTAAACCTCTATGTCCTTTATTGTGAGGGGGTGTTCACTAGGAAAACACATGCATATCAAGTATATTAGGATCAATGTTAAAGGCTTTATGTTCATATTACGGTATACCCTTCACAGACTTAATGTCAATACCTCACTACTCAGTTTCTCATGGGGTTAGAGTCTACAACAAAGCATTACATACTGTGGATACTGTTACTGCATGTCTTTATAATAACAGGGATTCATGATCCAATCCAGATATATCATAAAACCATTTAATGCAGAAGTATAATTTGAACATGTACTTCACTGTACCCCCCATTATGTAAGGAGAAAAACCAGGACAATTCAACATCTGCCCTTGATTAGTTAGGTAGAAACACAAGCAACTCTCCAAAGACCCTCACTAAGTTAATTGTATCATTTCACTTTTCATCTTTCATCAAATCTTTTCCTACTTATAACATGTATATAATTCTATATGATATATTTCATTAGAAACCTTTATAGTAGACCTACTGTCAGCCACTGTGACCTGTCAATCCTCCTCTAAATGCCAAACCAGACAAATCCATTTTTCTCATCGTTTGCTAATGTCTTTTTAAATGCTGCGTCGTAAGGGGAGGTGATGGACCACACAGGCAGTGCTAATCACATCTCAGAGCTAGCCCATATCTCACACGGTCGTATTAAACACAAAATGAATTGCCTCTGCTCCACTAGGACCCTATGCTGTATCCCAAATAGCACCCTATTCCCTACATAGTGCACTACTTTTGGCTCTGGTTAAATGTAGTGCACTATATAGTGAATAGGGTTGCCATTTGGGATACACCCCTTGATCAATGCAGCGTATGAGTATCACTCAGAGAGAAACCCGATCACCACTCCCTAAGTGGCGTATTGATCCGTTCACATTTCTACATTTAACATCTATCACGTCGTCGTCGTCGTGGTGACAAGTGTTTTCATTGATCTGCTTCTGCTACATTTGTATGCGGCGCAGAACCTTGTCCCTTACTATGGAAATCCTTCTCTTTGACATAACATTTGTAGGAATTCAGCTGCTTGATCCTGTGGTCACCAGATTATGTACATACAACAACCTGTGCTCTGTGTGATATAATATTAATAATAAATAAAACGTTTAGCAGACGCTCTTATCGAGAGCGACTTACAGGAGGGTTAAGTGCCTTGCTCAAGGGCACATCGACAGATTTATCACCTAGTCGGCTCGGGGATTAGAACCAGCTACCTTTCGGTTACTGGCACAACGCTCTTAACCACTAAGCTACCTGCCGCCCCTGATACAGCATTGATAATTAAAGCTAGAAAGCTAGCCATTGATTAATTGACGGATAACCGTGGTGTTGTTGATTGCAGCTGAGATTGCAGCTATGGGGCCTTAGATTGCAGGGTCTTACCATTAGGGCTGTAGATTGCAGAACATACTGTATGTGATGTAGATGGCTCTGGCCGTACCATTTGTGAAGCATCTAACCATAGCACACACCTGGGATGGCCTTAAAGAACACGAGACTCCCAGGCTGTGGTACTAAACAGAACATAGCTCTTCCCTCAACACCTAGAAACACGTGTACCTGAGACACATGATTGATAACACACAACGCCAGGGTTGTGGGTTCGGTTCCCACGTGGGGGCCAGTATGGAAAATGTATGCGCTCACTTAACTGTAAATCGCTCTGGATAAGAGCGTCTGCTATAAATGACTAAAATGTAAATATGTTCAGCAGTAGCATAGGGCGGCAGGTAGCTTAGTGGTTGAGAGCGTTGTGCCAGTAACCGAAAGGTCGCTGGTTCTAATCCCCGAGCCGACTAGGTGAAAAATCTGGCGATGTGCCCTTAAGCAAGGCACTTAACCCTAATTGCTCATGTAAGTCGCTCTGGATAAGAGCGTCTGCTATAAATGACGTAAATGTAAATATGTTCAGCAGTAGCATAGGGCAGGCTGTGGTACATGCAGAAACCCTCACTCTGCATCTTATAGCCTGCTACCTACCAAGTCAAGTAAGTCTGATCAACCAACATGCAATTTTGGTTTATATTCGATTGAGTTTTGAAAAATTACGTGAAATTAGGTTCATTCAACTTTAAATGAACCAACATTTCAAATGCTATAGTTGATTAGTGGTTGAAATCTGGATTAAAATTAGACAAAAAACTGTCTACGTTGTAAACTTTTTCCTAATCCAACCAACCTGCCACTTAGAAGCAACATGATTATTTTGACAAAGTAAGTTGAAATAAATTGATCTTGAGGGTATGAATAGACCTAAATCCTCTATGTAGATTACTAGTCTCTTTCTATACACACACACACAGTGTGATCAACCTAAATACACCAGCATCTTTGGGTTTCAGTATTTAGCAGCCATTACTGCATGTTGCTCAATGTTCATTAGCTCAACCAACGCAGCACTTGAAGAGCTGCTGGTGAGTCCTATTCAGACTGAGTAGCATAGCTTAGTGCTCACAGTTCAATTTGAGAGACCAGAGGATAGATAGGACAGAGGATAGGACAGAGGATAGGACAGAGGATAGATAGGACAGAGGATAGATAGGACAGAGGATAGGACAGAGGATAGGACAGAGGATAGATAGGACAGAGGATAGATAGGACAGAGGATAGATAGGACAGAGGATAGATAGGACAGAGGATAGATAGACCAGAGGATAGATAGGACAGAGGATAGATAGGACAGAGGATAGATAGGACAGAGGATAGATAGACCAGAGGATAGATAGACCAGAGATAGATAGGACAAGGATAGATAGGACAAGATAGATAGGACAGAGGATAGATAGACCAGAGATAATAGACCAGAGGATAGATAGACAGAGGATAGATAGCCAGAGGATAGATAGACAGAGGATAATAGACAGAAGGATAGATAGACAGAGGATAGATAGGACCAGAGGATAGATGACCAGAGGATAATAGACAAGGATAGATAGACCAGGAAGATAGACAAGATAGATAGGACAAGGATAGGACAGAGATAGGACAGAGGATAGATAGACAGAGGATAGATAGACCAGAGGATAGATAGACCAGAGGATAGATAGACAGAGGATAGATAGACCAAGAGATAGATAGACAGAGGATAGATAGGACAGAGGATAGATAGACCAGAGGATAATAGGACAGAGGATAGGACAGAGTGATAGACAAGATAGATAGACCAGAGTAGATAGACCATAGGATAGATAGACCGAGGATAGATAGACAAGGATAGATAGACAAGATAGATAGACCAGAGGATAGATAGACAAGGATAGATAGACCAGAGGATGATAGGACAGAGGTAGATAGGACAGAGATAGACAGAGATAGATAGGACAGAGGATAGATAGACCAAGGATAGATAGACCAGAGGATAGATAGACCAGAGGATAGATAGGACAGAGATGATAGGACAAGATAGATAGGACAGAGGATAGATAGGACCAGAGGATAGATATGACCAGAGGATAGATAGGACAGAGGATAGATAGACCAGAGGATAGATAGGACAGAGGATAGATAGGACAGAGGAATAGATAGGACAGAGGATAGATAGGACAGAGGATAGATAGGACAGAGGATAGATAGACAGAGGATAGATAGGACAGAGGATAGATAGGACAGAGGATAGATAGGACAGAGGATAGGACAGAGGATAGATAGAACAGAGGATAGATAGGACAGAGGATAGATAGGACAGGGATAGATAGGACAGAGGATAGATGACAGAGGATAGATAGACCAGAGATAGATAGACAGAGGATAGATATGGACAGAGATAGATAGTGACAAGTAATAGATATGGACAGAGGATAGATAGACAGAGGATAGATAGGACAGAGGATAGATGACCAGAGGATAGATAGGACAGAGGATAGATAGGACAGAGGATAGATAGGACAGAGGATAGATAGACCAAGGATAGATAGGACAGAGGATAGATAGACCAGAGGATAGATAGGACAGAGGATAGATAGGACAGGGGATAGATAGGACAGGGGATAGATAGGACAGAGGATAGATAGGACAGAGGATAGATAGGACAGAGGAAGATAGGACAGAGATAGATAGTACAGAGGATAGTAGACAGAGGATAGATAGGACAGAGATAGATAGACCAGAGGATAGATAGGACAGGATATAGATAGACAGAGGATAGATAGGACAGATGATAGGACATGAGATAGACCAAGGATAGATAGGACAGAGGATAGATAGGACAGAGGATAGATAGACAAGGATAATAGGACATAGGATAGATAGACAAGGATAGATAGACCAGAGATAGATAGGACAGAGGATAATAGGACAGAGGATAGCATGAGGATAGATAGACAGAGGATAGATAGACAGAGGATAATAGGACAGAGGATAGATAGGACAGAGGATAGATAGACCAGGTGATAGATAGGACAGAGGATAGATAGGACAGAGGATAGATAGGACAGAGGATAGATAGACAGAGGATAATAGACAGAGGATAGATAGATAGACAGAGATATATAGGACAGAGGATAGTATAGGACAGAGGATAGATAGGACAGAGGATAGATAGACCAGAGGATAGATAGTACCAGAGATAGATAGGACAGAGGATAGATAGGACAGAGGATAGATAGGACAGAGGATAGATAGACAGAGGATAGATAGACCAGAGGATAGATAGGACAGAGGATAGAATAGGACAGAGGATTAGGACAGAGGAATAGGACAGAGGATAAGGACAGAGGATAGATAGGAAGAGGGATTAGATAGGACAGAGGATAGATAGACAGAGGTGGATAGGACAGAGGATAGATAGACCAGAGGATAGTAGGACAGAGGATAGATAGGACAGAGGATAGATAGGACAGGAGGATAGATGGAAGAGGGATAGAAGACCAGAGGATAGATAGGACAGAGGATGATAGGGACAGGGATAGATAGGACAGGGGATAGATAGGACAGCGACGATAGGACAGAGGATAGATAGGACAGGGATAGACGGACAGAGGATAGATAGGACAGAGGATAGGAAAGGGATAGGACAGAGGTAGAGAGGACAGAGGATAGATAGGACAGAGGATAGAAGACAGAGGAGAGATAGGACATAGGATAGAAGAATCCAGACAGAGCGGATAGATAGGACAGAGGATAGATAGGACTAGGATAGATGGCAGGGATAATAGACAGAGGATAATAGGACAGTATAATTGACAAGATGATAGCAAGATGGTGCCATTTAGAAAAGACAATAATTGGAGGATAACAAAAATAGCTATGCACATAATGGCATGTCACCTCTCTTCTTCACTTCTCTCTCTCTCTCTCTCTTCCTCTCTCTCTCTCTCTTCTCTCTCTCTCTCCTCCTCTCTCTCTCTTTCTTCTCTCTCTCCTCTCTCTCTCTCTCCCCTCCTCTCTCCTCTCTCCTCTCTCTCCTCTCTCTCTCTCTCTCCCTCTCTCTCTCGTTTCCTCTCTCTCTCGTTCCCTCTCTCAAAGGACAGATTTAACAGAGCCACTTCAGCAGTAGATTCTCAACAGGCTTTATGTGTGTCAACTATAGCTATAAATATTGTTCAGGAGGGAGGGAGGGAGGGTGGGAGGGAGGGAGGGAGGAAGGGGAGGGAGGGAGGGAGGTGTGTGTGCTCGCGTGAGTGTGTGTTTTCTATCCATTGCAAAGGCCTGTTGTTGTGTGTTCCTAACACCTTGAGAAAGATACAGTGTCTCTGTCTCCGTACTGATATCTGGAGGTGTCAGGAAAAGGACAAGGATAGTTTGATGATGTTTTTTATGTCGGCGGGCGGAGAGGGGAGGGGTGTGTGTGTGTGTGTGTAGGGGGACTTACTGCACTGGTGGCCCTGGAGCACTACGTCTTTGATGGCCAGCAGGCCGCGATGCCCTGAGGTCACCACTTCAAACACCATCTGAGGAGAAACAAGACACATCATTACAACACTGATAAATGTACACACTTCTTCCAAATCTCACTCGCTCTCCTCTCCCTCCCTCTCCTCCCCACCTAGACTCCCCCCCCTCTCCTCTCCCTCCCTCTCCTCCCTACCTAGACTCCCCTCCCCTCCCTCCTCCTCTCCCTCCCATCTCCCCCTACCTAGACTTACCCCCCTCCCTCCCTCTCCTCCCTACCTAGACTCCCCTCCCTCTCCTCTCCCTCCCTCTCCTCCCTACCTAGACTCCCCTCCCTCTCCTCTCCCTCCCTCTCCGCCCTACCTAGACGTGGCCCCCCCTCCCCTCCCTCTCCTCCCTACCTATGACTCCCCCCTCCCTCTCCTCTCCCTCCCTCTCCTCCCTACCTAGACTCCCCCCTCCCTCTCCTCTCTCCCTCCCTCTCCTCCCTACCTAGACTCCCCCCCTCTCCTCTCCCTCCCTCTCCTCCCTACCTAGACTCCCCCCCCTCTCCTCTCCCTGCCTCTCCTCCCTACCTAGACTTCCCCTCCCTCTCCTCTCCCTCCCTCTCCTCCCTACCTAGACTCCCCTCCCTCTCCTCTCCCTCCCTCTCCTCCCTACCTAGACTCCCCCTCCCCTCCCCTCTCCCTCCCTCTCCTCCCTACCTAGACTCCCCTCCCTCTCCCTTCCCTCCCCTCCCCCCTCCCCACCTTTTGAACCCCCTCCCCCCTCCCCCCTCCCTCTCCCCCCCTTCCCCCCAAAACCCAGACTCCCCCCCCTCCCCCTCTCTCTCCCCTCCCTTTCCCCACCTAGACTTTCCCCCCCCTCTCCTCTCCCTCCCTCTCCCCCCTACCTAGACTCCCCCCCCCTCCCTCTCCCTCCCTCCCCTCCCCTACCTAACTTTCCCCCCCCTCCCTCCCTCTCCCTCCCTCTCCCCCCCCTACCTAAAACTCCCCCTCCCTCTCCTCTCCCCCCTCCCTTCCCCCCCCCTACCTAACTCCCCCCCCCCTCTTTCCCCTCCCCCCTTTCCCCTCCCCTCCCTCTCCTCCCAAACCCAGACTCCCCTCCCTCCCCTCCCCCCTCCTCTCCTCCCTACCTAGACTCCCCTCCCTCTCCCCTCCCCCCTCTCCTTTCCCCACCTAACCCCCCCTTTTCCCCCCCTCCCCCCCCTCCCTCCCCCCCTCCCCCCCCCTCCTCTCCCTTCCCCCCTCCCCCCACCTTTGACCCCCCTCCCCCCCCTCCTCTCCCTCCCTCCCTCCCTACCTAGACTCCCCCCCCCCCCCCCTCCCCTCCCTCTCCTCCCTACCTGACTAACCCCCCCTCCCCTCTCCCTCCCCCCCCTTTTTCCCCCCCTACCTAAAACTTTTCCCCCCCTCTCCTCTCCCTCCTCTCCCCCCTACCTAGACCCCCCCCCCCCTCCTCTCCCTTTCCCCCCCCCTCCCTACCTAGAAATCCCCCCCCCCCTTTCCCCTCCCTCCCTCTCCTCCCCAACCAGACTCCCCCCCCCTCTCCCCCCCCCTCCTCCCCACCTAGACTCCCCCCCCTCTCCTCTCCCCCCCTCTCCTCCCTACCTAGACTCCCCCCCCCCCTCCCTTCTCCCCCTTTCCCTTTCCCCCTCCTCCCCTCCCTACCTAGACTCCCCCCCTCTCCTCTCCCCCCCTCCCTCCCACCTAGACTCCCCCCCCTCTCCTCCCCCTTTTCCCCCCCTTCCCCCCTCCTCCCCAGACCCCCCCCCCCTCCCCCCCCTCCCTCTCCTCCCCCACCTAAAATTCCCCCCCCTCCCTTTCCCCCCCCCTCTTCCCCCCCCCCTCCCCTCCCTCCCCCTACCTAGAATCCCCCCCCCCCCTCCCCCCCCCTCCCTCCCCTCCCCCTCCCTACCGAACTCCCCCCCCTCTCCTCTCCCCCCCCTCTCCTCCCTTTCCTAGCCCCCCCCCCCCCTCTCCTCTTTTCCCCCCCCTCCTCCCTACCTAGACCTTTCCCCCCCTCTCCCCCTCCCCCCCTCTCCTCCCTAACCCAAACTCCCCTCCCTCCCTCTCCTCCTTCCCCCCCCCTACCTAGACTTTCCCCCCCCCTCCCCTCTCCCTCCCTCTCCTTTTCCCCACCTAACCCCCCCCCCCCCCCTCCTCCCTCCCTCTCCCCCTACCCAGACTCCCCCCCCCTCCCCCTCCCTCCCCCCCTCCCCCCCTAGACTCCCCCCCCTCCCCCTCTCCCTCCCTCTCCCCCCCTACCTAGACCCCCCCCTCCCTCTCCTCCCCCCTCCCCCCCTCCCCCCTCCTCCCTACCTAGAAAATTCCCCCCCCCCCTCCTCTCCCCCTCCCCCCCTCCTCCCAACCTAGACCCCCCCCCTCCCTCTCCCTCTCCCTCCCTCTTTCCCCCCTACCTAACTCCCCCCCCCCCTCCTTTTCCCCCCCCTCCTCCCTACCTAACTTCCCCCCCCCCTTTCCCCTCCCTCCCCCCCTCCTCCCTACCCCAAAATCTCCCCCCCCTCCCCTTTCCCCTCTCTCCCTCTCCTCCCTACCTAGACTCCCCTCCCCCCCCTCCCTCCCTTCCCTCCCCCTCCTCCCCACCCAGACCCCCCCCCCCTCCTCTCCCTCCCCCTCTCCTCCCTACCTAGACCCCCCCTCCCTCTCCTCTCCCTCCCTCCCCCCCCTACCAGACCCCCCCCCTCTCCCTCCCTCCCCCCTCCTCCCTACCTAACCTTTCCCCCCCCTCTCCTTTTCCCCCCCTCTCCTCCCCAAAAAAAAAAAAGAAAAAAAACCCCCCCCCCCTCCCTTCCCCCTCCCAATTCCCCTCCTCCCTTTTCCTTTTAAAAAAAAAAAAAAAAAAGGGGCTTCCCCCTTTCCCAAATTTGAATTTTCCTCCTCCCTCTCCTCCCCAAACCCAGAACCCCCCCCCCCCTCCCTCCCCCCTCTCCTCCCCCACCTAGACCCCCCCCCTCCCTCTCCCTCTCCCCCTCCCTCCCCCCCTCCCTACCCAAACCCCCCCCTCCCCTCCTCTTTCCCCCCCTCTCCTCCCTACCGACTCCCCCCCTTTCCCCCTCCCTCCCTCCCCTCCCCCTACCTGGGCCCCCCCCCCTCTCCTCTCCCTCCCTCTCCTCCCCCCAAACCCAGACCCCCCCTCCTCTCCCCCCCTCTCCTCCCACCAACTCCCCCCCCCTTCTCCCTCCCCCCCCTTTCCCCCTCCTCCCTACCTCTCCTTTTTTCCCCCCCCTCCCCCTTTCCCCTCCCTTTCCCTCTTCCCCCCCTCCTCTCCCCCCTCTCCCCTCCCCTCCCTCTCCCCCCACCTTCTCCCCCCCCCTCCCTCTCCCTCCCTTCCCCCCCTCCTTTAAACTCCCCCCCTCCCCCCTCCCCCCCTCCCTCCCCCACCTAGACTTCCCCCCCTTCCCCTCCCCCTCCCTCCTCCCTCCCCCGCTCCCCCCCCCTCCTCTCCCTCCCTCTCCTCCCTACCTTAAAAAAAACTCCCCTCCCCTCCCTCCTCCCTCCCCTCCCTCCCTCTCCTCTCCCCCCCCCCTTCCTTCCCCAATAACTCTCCCCCCCTGCCCAAAACTTTTCCCTTAAACCTGTTTTTCCCCCCCCCTTCGGCCCGGGTGGGGAGGGAAAACCCATGGGGCGGGCCACAAAATTTGGTTCCCCGGTTGGGGGAGGGGGCCCGGGGAGGGGGGACCCATGGGGCGGGACAATGGCCAGGGGGGGGGGTTCCGGAATTTTCCCTTGGGAAGGGAAAAAATTTTTTAATTTAAAAAAAAACAAAAAAAAAAAAAAATAAGTATGCACTAAATGTAGGGCCCCCTCTGGGTAAGGGTGGGCTCTAAATGCCCTTTAAAATTTAAAACCCCCCCCCTTCCCCAAACCCAGACCTTTCCCCCTCTTCCCCCCCCTAACTCTCCTAGCTCCCTCCCCTCTCCCCTTTCCCCTTCACCTAGACTCCTCTCCCTCCCCCTCCCCCCACCTAGCCTCTCCTAAAACTCCTCTCTTCCCTCCCCGCACCAGATCCTCTCTCTCCTCCCCATCTAGACTCCCCTTTTCCTCGCTTTTTTTCTCCATTGGAAACAGGTCCCCGTAATGCCTTCCATACCGACTGTGGGAAAGGCCCCCTAGCAGCAGTTTTTTGGGGGGTTGTGAAGAATAAAATTATTTTTTGAAACCCTTTTTTCATTAGAAAATTTTTGATTTTTCTGTCCTAATTTCCCCCCCCACCCCGCAAAAAACACACCCACAAAGGGTTGGGGTGGGCCCGGGGGTCAGGGCCCGGGTGTAATGCTACAATTTTGCAAAGGAGATTTACAGGTTATTTAACTTGTGAGGGTTAAAATAACTGAAGATCTGATTAGTTGGGAGCCAGGGGCAAGCACAAAACCCCCTTTTGAAACCCTAGGTTTTTAATAGCAAAGGGGGTAAATCCTAAAACAGTAGCACGACAAGGGGGAACCCACAGGCCGACAGACGACCAAAAGACAACAACAGACGACAGACGGGAGACCTACAGGCAGACAGACATACAGCAGGCAGACGACAACAGACAGACAACAGACAACAGACCAGACGGGACAGGCTCCAGCAAAACAGGCAGGGGTACAAGCAAACTTGTCCTAAGAAAGAACAAATCCCTTTTATAAGAACCACTCTCTCTTTCTTCACTCTTTCCCCCTTCCTCTCCTCTCTCTCTCTCTCTCTCTCTCTCTCTTCCCTCTCTCTCTCTCTTCTCTCTCTCTCTCGCCCTCCTCTCCCCCTCCTCTCACTCTCTCTCCTCTCTCTCTCTCTCTCTCTCTTCTCGCATCTCTCTCCTCTCCTCCCTCACTCTCTTCCCTCTCCCCTCCTTTCCCCTCTCCCTCTCCTCTCTCGCTCTTCTCCCTGTAATATAACTGTCTCCTCCTCTCCTCCCCTCTCTCTCTCTCTCTCTCTCTCCCCAAATACATTTAAACTCAGTTTTTCACAATTCCTGACATTTAATCCTTAGGTCAGTTAGGATCACCACTTTATTTTAAGAATGTGAAATGTCAGAATAATAGTAGAGAGAATGA